CCCCCCCGGCACCTGCTCCTAGGGTGCAGCAGCAGCAGGTCCATTGAGATGGGGTGGGGGGTGTTTCTCACCGAATGGCACTCTGAAAAGCTGCCCAGTCTTCCTGGAAGTGGGAATCTGGCGGGAGGTCCTCCAGACGGCACTTCTTCCGGATGGACTGCAGGGCATTACTGAAGTCCGAGGCGTATCTAAGGGAGGGGTCCGAGATAAGAGCCCACCAGCAGCCGTGCGTGTGTGTGTGTGAGTGTGTGTGTGTGTCTGAATGCTGCCCAGGTGGGAAGGGAAGACCCAAGGGGACAAAGCCAATTCCTCCCCTAAGGCCAGCCTGCCTCCCTTCCGCATTGGGACCTGGGAGGGGGGGGAAGGCGCAGCAGGCGGGGCTGGTCATTGCCTCCTGTGGCCACGGGGGGCAGCGGAGTCCCACTCGCCTCCCAACCTGTTCTTCTCAGAGCAAAATTCTCCGCCCGCAACCCTCGCAGGGGTTGGGGGTGCTGAGAAAGCCCCACACACCCCCGGCCCAGAGGCTGGGTGCCAGGAGCTTTCTCCGTGGCCCAGGACTTACTTGCTGAAGAGGGCTTGCAGGGCCCCGAGGAGTCCACCCACGCCCAGCCCGTCGGTCAGCGTGAGGCAGTTGTCCACGGCCGCCAAGGCCAAGCCAAAGAGCTTGTTCACCGAGTGGCTCAGCTCCTGGACGCAGTCCATCACTTCCCCGTGCTCCTGCGCAGGACGCAAGGTCAGAGCTCACGGTCGCCACTCTGGAGCGGCAGGGCAGCCAGTCCGAACTGGGCGGGATTGGGATCAAGGCGGCAGCCATTTCCACTGGGGCCCTTCCACTCTGAAAGTTCAACTCTGTCTGCCGGGGCCCAGAGAACCTCCTGCCCGGCTGGAGCCCAGAAGACGCTTTCCAAGCCTGCAGGATGCGGCTGCTCTGAGGCTTTACAGAGGGAGCATCCTGCTAATCAACAGGCCCAATTTCTATGGGGAAATCTGGGGCTCCGGGACCCCCGAGACCGTTCTGCAGTTCCTGTCGCCTGAGCCAATGCCAGAAGTGGCCTTTTGAGATGGAAAACCCTTAAGCAAAAGCCTTTAACGGGGTTAAAAACCCCCAACTCAAGAGGACAAAACAAGAAATCCCGATGCCCCCCCTATGTGGAACCCAGTCCAGCCTATCACAGTCAC